AGAAGCCTTTTCACATGAACGGTGTCTGTATATTATTGTATGTTTGAGAAGTATCAAGAGACCTTAGCTCTATGTGCCCTCTGGAGTTGACTGAAGGATGGATGTTCTGTGAGAATACTTATCAGAAAAGCTTCAAACAGCATTTTTAAAAAGACCTTCCCAGTGCTCTCTCCATACATTTAAATGTATGTGGTAATAATTGTTAAATTGATAGAAGCCTGTGGAAAGGGAACAGAAACATAAAATACTGGAAGTAGAAACATCAGTTGTGAAGGGACAAGGAACAAGTCTCTGAGCAGGAAATGATAAAAAATATCAGGCTGGATGAGTTTACAGGTAAACTGCAAAACTAAAAGGAAACTATGTCCATTTACAACACATGTGGAATTTAAAAGTATATTAAACCCTGCATTGTTTCCCAATACCCTGTAGTCCCTGTAAATGACTACGTTTAGTTGGATCATTATGCCAAACAAAAATAAGACATTCTAGATATGATTGAGGATTTACTGAGTTCATTTAGAGTCCTTTGGTCAATCAGACAACTTAGATAAGATGAGCATCATCTTTATAGCCCAGTCTGGGCTATAAACAGGCAATTTGACCTCCAAAAACAGTAGACTTTTAAGTTCATCTGGAAAATAGGCTACAGAAAAAGAAAGCTGATGTCAAGAAAGAGATGGTGGTATTTGCTTTGCTTGTACTGGACAGACTGAGGTCTGTAGCTTGTGTGCAAAACTGCCTAACATGCAAACGATTCACTGAGTCGCAGCTTGTAGCACAGTAAACATCAACTTTAGCAACTCTGCTTTCTCAGGGGTGATTGTGCTTTAATGGGCAGTTAATTTCTTTAATCAAATAATTAATATTCTTTCTGTTCAACTGAATGATTTCTGTGTAAGCTAGGTTCTCTAAATATGATAACTTGCAGTGAGAAACTGGTTTTGAAACATACAATTGAGTTCCCCTGAAGACATCATCCAGAGACTCTGGGGTCCCAGTATGAGAGTGGCTTGCATTGATGGGATGCAGGGTACGTGGTGGTGGGTTTTGCCTTCTTGTGGAACGTGACAGGGATGATACGCTGAGCTCTAGAGGACGATTTGGCCACGTTCTGGTAGAGAGGATGGAATTGGAGCCTGGCCGTCTGTCATCCAGGTCCCTAACGAAAGAATTAAAAAAACGAGAGATAAGGTGAACATGACTGATAACTACCCTATTATCAAAGTACTCATCTACATGTGGTATTAATAATATTACGTGTGGATAGAGATCATGTTTTCATTTTTGTTACATAACTATATAAAGTAATTTACAGCCAAATTAGAAAAGAATAGGGGAATGGAAAAGAAAAAAGCCTATTTTTTTTTTTTAACTGAACTATGAACTTTCCAGTTGAAGATTCCAGTGTAAAAGTAAAAATTAATCACAGAAAAGATTAAAAAACCCATATGGTAAACACCAGTTTTCACACCCATAGCCTAGATCTAACACAAGTCCACTTCTAGGAACTGAGCAAATCATTTTCTCTAAATCTTTCATTCCCATTTTGAGCTTCATGTCTTTTCAGGATGTCACTGGTGCCAACAGTAATGCCACAGCTGTTCACTGAGTGGTAAACTGGCAACAGTCAAACAGAAAACCTGTACTAGAAGTATACTGTTTCATAGAGGACAAACACATAAACAAAGAAGCAGGAAAATGATCGAGAATTGCTTTCCCGTGTAGAAAGTTACCTCACAATGTTTTAGGTTGAATCCCTCTCACTGCGAGGGTGCTCTACTTTACAACAGACAATCTTAGAGTTCTTACAGTGTTTTCTCCATTGCAGGCAGATTCCTCTGCTGTAACTGGATCCCATGTACCACCATCAAGCCATTTAGAGTACGTTGAGAGCCACTACTTGATCCTTGAGAGAGATTTACCTGAAAGTTTAAAAAAAATAATTAGGTAAATTACTGTTTGGCAGAGACATACACACATATTTACAGATTTTTTCCTTGTAAATAATTTTGGAGGAAATTAATTTCTTCCATGATATCCACATATACATTCAGTTATGTAATTTCCCCATCTAAGACAGGCATCTTAGCATTCCATTTTTCTTACAAATGGTACTGCTTAGAAAACATATCCTACCATGCTATGTCATACTTAATATTTTCCACCTGAGCTTGTGATTTGTATGACAGCATCTTCCAACAATGGCTATAATCAGAAGCTTTACAAAACTAATTTTCAGTGTATGTTGACATTTTTTGTCAAGAACAGAACTGCAGTCTCCTTTCCTGGAATACAGACTGATCTGGAAAAACATCAAATTCCACCCACCGTAACAACAGCAAATAGAAAACACCAGAGCTTTAGTCTCTCCAGCATACATACTTGAGGTGTTTTTCTCCTCTTTTTGCTTTTGCGGCCACATCTGGGTTTTGGGCACTACACACACAGTAAGGGGAACACGAGGAAGAGGCAGGGGTAGAAATAAAGGAGAAAGAAATAAGAAGGCAAGAGTTGAATTAAAATGGAATAAACAGATAACACTTTGGTGCTCACCACTCTAGGAGCAGATTATTTAAAGCACATTATACAGTCAAATTCAGTGTCTGAGAAAAAAAAACTGGTTTACAATTGCATTGAGATTTGTCCTTTGTTGCCTGATGAGTTAGCTATAGATAAGCCAGTGAGAATAGGATCTCATACACGCAATCCTTGATCTCACAATTTAGTTCAAACATTACTGAAATGTAGAAAGAACTACATCGTTAATGAACAGTCACCACATGGTTGTCCAATACATATATAAAATACTAAGTTTTAAAGAGAAAAGTAGGAATTAAAACTTGCAACTGAGGAATAACAGAACTTAAGTGTTAGAAAGGACAGTCAGCATTCATACAAAATCCAAACTAGTTATGTATCTAAACAGTCCCCTGACGTACTCAAATCTGTTTGCTTAGGTAGCGCTGTATTGACGTGTCCCTACGCAAACCAGCTGGCTAAAAATACTTACCAGATTTGATGTTTGTGGCACACGAGGTAACAATGCTGGCAGAGGATCAAACTGCAAAGGGCCTCCAGCATCTGCTCTGATTGTTTCTACCGTTATGACATTTTTCTCATCATCTATGCAAAGCAACAGAGAATTCCTGTAAATACAGACTCCTGGCATTGCTAGTTGTGGACAGTGCTATGGATCAATTTTCTTTAAAGAGAGTCCACTTGGATGCTAAGCTCTATTAAATCTTTTGAAGGTTTGTCATGCACTGTTAGCAAAATAAGCTTTTTTCCCCCCCCCCAAAGAGATTATTCCCAAACATACTTCTCTCAATGCATCCTTGCAAAATTCAGTAACTGAAATCCCCTTTTGAATCTTCAGTTTAACTGTGATCCTTACCAGAGGCTGACCCTTCCCAGTGTCTGCAGATTAATTCCTCCATGCAGCCTAGGACTTCACTCCACACATCATCAAACAGAAATGCGAGCACAGAATCCTTCATGCAGGAATATGGAGAGACAGGAGGAAACCCTAATTTCCGTCTACCAGAGGACAGTCCCATTTTCCTCTCATGTAAATCCTCCTCCCTGTAAAAAAGTAAGCACTACCTGTACCAAAACCACATTTTCTTTGTCTCCTATATTTTGCTGCATGTATTTAATAGGATTAAAACATCAGCTAAGGCTGAATTTCTGTTCTATTTTCTCTTAAACTGAAATAGGTTACGGCAGCTGGCCAAATAGCTTGAAGACATTACTCCAGGAGAAGCTTTGTATTTATCACACAATATTATTTTCTGAGAGCTAATAGTTTAACATAAACAGCAACATCAAGTAACAATCTAATACTGAAAGAAGCAAGCTTCTGTGCTTTGGGCACCTGAACTTTTATTTCTTACAGAATCTATCACTGGCCTAAATGAGAAATGACTAAGACGATTACCTTATTGCTGCACACACACATACAGAATAATAAATAAATGATACTTCATGAATAATAAATAATTTACCAAGGAGATCAAAGTTTCATTTAAAAATAAATATTAATAGTTACAGTGATATTTGTTCATCCTATTTTTAGGCTCCATATCTAACATCACTATAAAATTCCGAAGACAAGAGAGAGAAATGTTACTACTCATGACTGTTCAATGCCACTCTCAGCCTGCTGCTCTAACAGCCAGGAGGTGTTCAGGGCACAGGCTCAATTCGGTTTTAGATAATTAAATTTAATCAATAAGAGAAGAGAAAAAACATAATTCACAGCAGCAAGTGGCCTTTGCTGAAGACTCTTCCACAATGCAAGAAGTATTCTGAAGTGGGAAACCTGAAAGACAACTGCTTAAAAAAGTTTATGTTCATCTGCCAAAAGAAACTTTATAAAAGGGAGAAAATAACACTGATGCAAGCACATTTATTATGGCTTTCATACCTGCTCCCTGAGTAAGTACTTAACATCAAAAAGCTACAAACCTTGGAAAATAGGAGATACCACTAGAAAAAGCTATAATACTTCTACTGTTATTTTTATAGAGACAGCAATATTGTTTGCTGCAGCAATGTCTCTCTGGCCTGGTCAAAGCAAACCACCTACCAATTTGAATCTTGTGGTCCATGCAGCTAAGTGGCTTTACTTATTAAAAGCAATTAAGTAGTTAGCAACCCACGGTACCATTCAGAGTCCTTTCCCAGGGAGTATGTTCATATTGTTGCACTGAATAAAGTAAAGGGGCAAAAAGAATCCTCTTTATGCCACCCTTAATCCTTTCTTCTTAAGATTAAATAGTGGTCATTATTTCTTGGCAAGCATCAAATCCATTCTAATTCTTAAATTACTACAGAAAATCTAGAAAGGTACCATTCCACCCAAAATGCTAGTACAAAACCAAAGCAGCACACTGCTAGTGCATCACAAACAACAATGAATTTGACTTTGTATAAAAAATAAATGGCATTTAGACAAGTTTTATTAAATATGTGAATACATAGCAGGCTCTTAGTTATGATGAACTATTTAAACCAGGCACAAAAATGCCTAGTATGAAAAACTACCAAAAAAAAAAAATCAGAAAAATAATTTAGCCAACTACGTTGTTGTAGGAAATGGATTGGGAGAATTCCCAGTGCCCTAGCAACCTCAGGCTTTTGAAAGTTCTCTAGAGGAAAAGTATTTAAAAAAAAAAAAAAATCATCAAATACTTTATCAACTAGCATCAAAGCCAAATATATCTTAATAGCAGGAATTTCAGGACACTGATACTAGTTACTATCTAAATATTCAATACCTACACATCTCTGCGGTCAAATGCTAAATATTCCTCCATTACGCCTTCAGAGACAATGACTCCATCTTCACCTTCTTCGCTTTCTGGAGAACATGAGGTCGGAGACTTGGAATGGTCAGTCTTCTTGTGAATGGGAGTAACAGAAAGAGGTACCTTCTTGCCAAAAACACTAAATCTGAACAGGTGACAGTTTGCAGAAAACAGAAGTGAAAATAAGTTGTTACTCCACTTCAAATAGCAGCACTGGGTGAGCTCAAAGGTTGAGAGACAACACAGTACTTAAGGCCAAGCAGTAGGATGGCCAACAAATTATGCGTTACAGTAAAACTCTTTTGCTTTGGGTATTTTTAAGTCTTGCTGAGGAACTTGAAACTTCGGAAAAAAAATCAAAAGCTAATTAAAAAACATTATAAAACATAAATAATAAAAGTAGTACTAATATAGTGCTTTGTATTTTTGAAGTTCTGCACAAATTTAATAGCTTCTTAACAATAAAACCAGCTACAATGCAGACATATTCTGAAGAAATCAGCAGCAGCAAAGGTATTTCTATTTACTGACCAGTTCACTGTAGTTAGCAACAAGCACAGCTACATAGTCTTGCTATTCTGAATATACTACTTTTAGTTAAAAAGGGAAAAAAAAAAAAAGCGTGCCGTGTTCAAAACTCAGCCTAAGATAAAGGAATTAGGCTTCACATTTTAAGAAGCCTTTCACTGCAGTCCACTGAGAACAAAATTCCCTTCCCACCTTGGTACGGACTGGATTAACTGTTGGTACTTACTCATTAGAATCTTTTTCTCTTGAAGAACTTACAGCTGAGGAAGCTAAACTGACAGAAGGTGAACTTGAATACCATCCATACCCTTCATCTGTGGGGATCACTATCTGCTTCCCCACAACCCTGCCATGGCAAAGCAAAGGATAAATTAATCAGAAAATGTTTACCATACATATTTTCTAAGAAAATTTTGCTATGTTAAGGCCAAGTCAGTTGCAAATAGCAATAATCCTCTGCCAGGGAACCATATGTGAGATAGCAGAGTCTTTATATTAATGGGAATGGCAAGCAGACTACTAGACTGATCTTTTTCTCTCTATCTACTATATAATTGCATAAAACCACCCTGCTACTAACATTGTTTTTAAAGCAACTGTTTCCCTACCCTTTTTAACTCTGTGATGGTACTAGCACTAGTCTATTAATAAAATACCTGAGATGAGGAAAGTTGGATGTCCACTGGTGGCATTCTTCCCGCAGTCCCTCAACATGCACATTTTCTTTCTGCTCATAGAGGAGCTCATCAATTTGTCTGAACATTTGCTGAACTTGTTGTGTGGCAGCTTTATCAAATTCCTAGAAAGGAAAGTTATCCAATAAGCACCCGGTGAATAGCATTTGGAAGTTTTTTAAATGGAATTTCTTTGTAATTGAAACAGACAAATATTTGTTTAAAGCATAGTGGGACTCATTCAAACAGTTCTCTTTCTTCTGCTTAGAAAGACATTAACTTTAAATAATTTCCCCCTGGAGATGACACAGACTGCTGTTAAGACTGATGGTAGCTACATAAAAAGCTTACATTGACACAACAGAAAAACTATTAAAACATTTTGAAATATCTTTATTATATTAAGTTAAAGACAGTAATTTACATAAAAGAAATCAGAACAGGAAGGATAAAATTCAGTAGCTAGAAAATGGGGTCGGTTCTCAGTTAAATCTAAACGGTTCCATCTCACCTCACAGAAAGAAATAGCACACTTTGTTTCAGAAGACTGAAAATAAAACAAATATTTCTAATTGAAAATAATGTTTTAGGGGATTACTGTATTTTGAGAAACATACGAGTATGCAGAAGTTTGATAAACTCACACCAAGTGTCTGAAAGTCATCCACTCAATGTTTGGGATTCCACAGTAACAGCATTATTATTATGTTGTATAGATACACTTATGCATTAAATGATCTGCATTTCCAAAGTTTTAGATGGAAATGCAGAATATTAACTGAATAATATGAGCCCAATACATTTTGATCTGAGAGAGGAAAGATGGGGAAGAGGTAAAAAAGATGTTCTTTCTATAACCACTATAATGACTTATTGACGTATCCAATCCTTATTTTTTATCCTGAAATGTATTTCCAATGGTATTTCAAATGTCTTTCTACTCATTGTGCTACATTTCACTTGGATGACTATGTTCTACTCACATCATAGCCCCAAGAGAAGACTGAGCTGTCTTCAGTGGAGGTGTCAGTGTAACTCTGACTAGCAGAATTCCCATCATCAGCTGGAGTAACAGAAGGGTAATCTGAGTCCTTCCAGATTTCAGACTCTCTGAAATGCATGCATTGAAGAAAAAAAATGAAGAAAAAAACCCCCAACAATACACAATGACAAATAAAGCAGCCAAGTAAACTCTTCCTTCTGTACAAAAAAGCACAGATGTATCAGCAGGTGTCAGCAATGATAAGAGTTTTCAAAAGGTAAATATTTACTTAAGAGGCATTTAAGCAGAAGCCATAGTACACAAGCAATTACAACAACTGTAACTCCTAATATTCTCAGTGACACAGGAAGTCTAGAAGTCAAGCAAAACAACTTTCCAAAAATTATCTCAGTTAAGCTGCAGACTATTTCTAGTCCCAGTTCTACACCACTCAGGAATTACGTCTATCTTTTCTCCTCTTGTTTCTGCTATAAACTTAGATGACCCAGGCTGCTTGTGAGCTGAGAACAAAACACAGCTCCATTTATTATTTCCAAAATAGAAAGGCCGTGTTCTGCAATGATACAGATCTGAGGTGAAGCCTAAGCCTACCAACCGTATTACTTCTGTAACGGTAACTCAACACAAGGTGCCTGGTTTTGCCATTGTCTCCAAACATTCTTGTTATAGCATGACATATACCTTGAGCTCTCGCCATAATTTTCTGCCGTGGGCGTGGCTGGGCACAGCTCAGCTCGTGGTTCTGGCAGTGGGTGATGCCGCAAGGCATGTTTTGGAAGTCCTTGTCTAAAACAAGAAATGGAACTTGACATTACTTACAAGGATAAACATCTATCTAGTTCCCAGGCTTTACAGAGGTTTTTCCTACTTTTCAAGGAATGCACTAATTTGCATACCAGGGCACCTTTATTCTTATTAGACAGTGAATTCTTGTTACCAAAACTTAGAATTAAGGTATCAAAACTAACTCTGGGATAATCACGGAGTTAAAGGTCTTTGCTTAGAAATCAATGTTTTCCTATAAACTACAGCTCTCAAATGTCATTATCCCTGTAGGAGACCTGTAAACAAACAGAACAAGAGTAGCCACCAAACTGTGCACAGGCAGGAGGAACAGCACGTGCTAGTCTTCTGTTTTGTCAAAGTTTAGATGTCCAGGAGAGAGGGACAAGGCACCGTAGCTGGGGACAGAGAGCAGTAGTGATGTAGGCACAGAAGTCCCTCCCAAGCACTGGCTGGAAGAGCCTTGAGCAGCTCTCTCCTGTCGTTTCTCTGCTGTTCAGCAAAGACAGAATTAAAAATAAGCAAGATGCCATCAAAGTAGCTAATTCCCAAAAGCGATGCATTTGTTTAAATCTCTTACCCCCTAAAAAACCGCCTAAACGTCAGTCACCTCTTGGGTCAAAAAAAAAAGGAACAAGGGCAGGACGGGGG